CAGATATACTTCACATGTTATTATTTATTTATATACATATAATTAAAGGCAATCGCCCAATTATTAAATATTATTTACATTATCATTTACATTACAGTATTATTGAAAATCATTTAGTAACAGGTTTTTATAAGTTTTTTTAAATTGATACAGTGAACAAAATTTAAAAAAAAGTTAATGCGGTTACAGTTGGCACTTCTACACATTTTCCATAATGGCGCATAATAGTACAAGGTTGATTTCGCAAAAGGAATATTAAATAACATGCTGTTTGTACAACGCAGATCACGCATTGGATTAGCACAAGGAATTTTACAATGTAATTCTGAAGAGTCTATATCATGAATTACATTGTAAGATTATAGAGTCTATATTATTGAATGTTTTTCTTTATAAATGTTTTTATTTTTATAATTATGTTGCTCCATGCATATTTTTATTGTATTCCTTTTGTAAATGGGCTTACTTGTCCATACAATAATAAAAAAAAAAAAAAACACTTGCGATCAGAAAACGAGGCATGGTCAACTTATCCGAGTCTACAGAAGCAGCAGTTGAGATCACAGATCCCAACGAGGGAACACTCCACTAGAGAGATGACTTCTTTCTTGTCCCATACTCTCAAAGAGGCACTATGAACCTTCATTCGCCCTGGAATTCAGTGCTGGACCTAGTCCAGGCCTATTGATTGAGATAGGGTTGGCATCCAAACTAGCCATCTAGAAGCCGGGCCCAACGGTAACATAAAATGGAGAATAATGGTGAAGGTGACATAAAATGGAGAATAATAGAATGCAAAATGGAGAAAGGCATACATGAAAGTGTAACGTATTAGCCAGCGTGCCTCGTGGCATCTATTTGGGGACGCTTGGCAGGATTAGCCTTGCCACAGGAAGAAGGGTTTTTCCGTAAAAGGGAAGAACGCGGAAACGGGAGACACAAGGCTTTGGGTGTCTTCCGGCTTATAGAAGCTTTTCACTGTTATAACAAGCGAGGGGGTGGCGTGACGTAGTAGGTCACGTGGGCCTCGCCTATATAACAGAGTGTACGGAGCCAGTAGGCAGGTTCTGAAGACGGTGGGAGAACCTTGTGCGTGTGCACAAAACTTGGCGCCACGACGGTGCATATGCGAGCCAGGCTCGCGAGGCTGGAGTCATTAGTTGACGACGCCTGCGGACTTTATGTCCTTGGGTGACTGCGGTCACGGGGGAGCGATGCTGTGTGCGTGCTCCGAGGTGAAGAGTGGTTGAGTGCCACGATTCATGCCGATTCTCAATCGGATAAGATCGCTCCTGCGATCGAGGCAAACCAGCCGTTGGTGGGCTAGAACGGACTTTGTGTCCCAGCGTGACATCCGGTCACAGAAGCTAGGCTTTGTGCGCGCATCAAAAGTAGGAGTGGCGAATGCCACAATCAAAACCATCTTCAATCGGGTTTTGGATCGCTCCCGCGATCAGGGGATAGTAGGTCTATCAGAGCTAGGGTGTAAGTAGATTATTAAGTGTATATATTTGTTTTGTTTTCTTGTTAATAAATATATTTGTTATACGAAAGCTCTGTGTCTGTGGTCGCTGTGAGTATCCATGACGTCACAAAAGCCTTCTCTGCAAACCTCATCAGGACATAGACAGACCCAGTTCAATGGGCGCACTTACAGTCTGTTATATATTTTTGTGAATGTTGATGGGCCACACAATCAACTTTAAATAGGTGTTAAATAATTATTGCTCTTATATCAACGCATGGCTGTGAAATTCACATGTTTGCTAATTCAATTGCAAATGTCTGTAATTAAATTATTTCATAAATAAATGCCTAGATAATTAAGTCAAACAATTGTTTCACATATTATCCAATAAATGGGTTTTACTGTAAGTAAATAAATAAATAATTACATCAAGAGTAAAAGTGGGTACCACTTTCACACACCTTTGATTTGGAATTCCTCTGTGTTTGAAATTAATTGATTGGCCATTCCCTTACAAAGGTTGAGGGTAGGGGGAGTGGTCATTTCCACCTGGAGAGTGGCAATCTGCATGCTTTTTGCAATTTTGTCCATTTGCTCGTCAGAAATTGTACCATTCCTTTATCGCACGACCGCTTGGAGATTCCCAAACGAATTCTCTAATGCTTGCGCCAAACAGGCTCATAATTTTAGGCAAAAACACAGTCTCTTCTCATAGAAAAAACTATTCAAATCAACCGTACGTTCAAAACATCTCTGCCTTCTGGAAGCGGGCCATGGGGAAGTTTTAGGTTCCATAATATTGGTGATGTTTCATTTCCGATCTCCCCACTCATGGAAACTATAAAGAGGGCACCCCACTGGGATGCCAGGGTTGACATGGAGATATACTAGGGGATGACAGCGCTGCCACTCTGCATTTTCCCCCGCTCACCCTAGAGACATAGTCTGAGGCGACTGATCAGGACAGTGTGACGAGATGGATACTCACAGCGAACACAGACACAGAGCTTTCATATAACAAATGTTTATTTACAAGGAAAACACAACAAATATTTACCATGAATTTACACTTTACACCCTAGCTCTGATAGACCTGCTATGCACTGATCGCGGGAGCGATCTCAACCCAATTGACCACATGAAATACACGACAAATTTTGCCACTCGTTGACTTCAAAGAGCTGGCTTAAAGAGGGGAACCAATACGGATGCAAGTAACTACATACAAACTAGTCTATCCAGCTCATAATGTAAAGTGAAGGAGCGACTAATGGATAAGTCATGACTTCAGGGCGAATTCCACCTAATCAAAACAGCTTTGGGCCAGTTAGGTCAATTACCACCAACCTCACGTCCCCAGGACTGGACAATTGCCTTAGACAGTGACACTCCAATGAAGATCATGTATTCTGATTTTTCCATGGCTTTTAATAAAACTCTAGGACCCAGTCCTTTCTTCTGACTCATAGCTTTTATGTTATATGCACATAGCTGTAATATTATGTCATATGTACATTATATTTTATTTCAGCAAGAAATGAACTGAATAGCATATAGCTCTAAATTATTTATGAAGAACATTAAACAACCAAAAAATCCAAAGGAACAAATTACAATGGCAGTGAACAATTGGCAGCGATGAAAGTTACGGAGAATCTGGGCATTTTTATTGCAGATAAACTTATAATGTGAAATGATTATACACCATAGCCAAGAAAGCAGCAAAAGTCTTTTTCAACGTTGAAAAGCAAAACTTTCATGCATTTATATAGAATACACAATTGTCAAATTTGGCATCTGCCTATTACAGAATGGGTGTCTATGGGTAATCTATGTCTATTATACAATGTGTGTTCTTTAATTCTATAATAGACATAAGTGTACTCGAGAAAGTATAGAGGGAAGCTACGATTCCAGTGAATTTCTTTTGTAACAGATATTCTGTCTACTAAAGGCTTAAAAGCGTGTATAGAAAGAAATAAGGGTCTCTTACATTTAAAGAAAATACCCATCATATAAATACAATCAAACTCAGGATTGTCTGTATCTGCTCTTATACAGTTCTACAGTATTTAAAATTTGCAATGACATTTTTATTGCCAATTGAGATTTATTTCTCAATTCCTTTGAATTAAGTGTTCCACAGACATTTAAGTTTGGGGTACATTGCATGGAGGAGTATATAATAGGAGTGCAAACACTCGCTTTTTGAGAGTATGGACTAGAAGATTTGCCAGTGTAGTTTTCAAGTTGTGGCATTTACTTTAAGGTACATGCAAATTTCAATACTACTTCGGTAATTTGTTCATCAGGTAGTGGAGGGAGCTTATGAAACTTCTACCATTCATTTCATCCTGAAATTTCATATCTCGCTGGTGGAGAAGTAAAGTGATTATTTGTGTCATTTCATTTGCAAGCATTGTTTGGCAGTGAACATTGTTATCAAGTGTGGCTGATCACAATGGCAAGGTTGTTGGGTTCTAGGATACGCCAATGCTGTACAGCAGGGTTAAGAAAAACGTTTCTAAAGATTTTCCTCTGAGCCGGGAAGGTGAGTGAAATTATTAAACATAACAAAATTTCACAGTCATATGGCCCAATTGAAATAAATAATTAGTTAATTTTTATTAAGTGTATTGGGCTTATTTTATAAACTGATTCATTTTCATCTATTATTGTGCCATTTCATGTATTGCTCTGTACTTTCAGGTAACTTAAAGAGCTTTGTATATCATCGGGTGTGGCATACATTTCAAAACAACATAGTGCTTCTTCAATTTTTCAGTCAAAAATCTCTTGACAAAATTGAACTGATATCCCACACTCTTAAGCAAGCTCTCTGACAGTCAGATATCAATTTGCCTGAATCAGGGTGTTGATTTTGTCAACATGCGGGTCATCAGTTGAAGTGGAAGGGGTCCATGATGCTCATCATCTTCAAGGGACTGTCGACCGACTTCAAAATGTTCATGCCACTTGAAACATGCCATACGTTTCTGAACAACATCACCACAAGGGATGTTATGCATAGTGAAAGTTTCTGTCACAGATTTTTCAAGTCTAACACAAAATTTCACAGCAAGTCATTGTCCTTTCGGGTCAATCATTCTGAAATCCGCCAAAAAATCGTACTTCACTCAAAAACCATGTAGCTCATACACAAATAAAGATATCAACAATCGAGAAATCAGCAGATCTGTTCAAACCTAGCAACATCAAGCAGATTTCCCTAGAATCAATTAGAGCCATGCAATTCAAGCAGTCTGCATATTACTTCAACAGCCTCTGTATGATATTAAGGAGGTTATTATCCACATTGAATGTCCAAAAGTTAAATCAGTCACGCACCTCAGCTAGCTGTGACAACAATCAAAAATTATTCATACTGACCAGAGAATGAAGTGCTATCGATTTTCACCTGCACCTTATTGCATATGGTGTGACACGAGTTCCCCTCCTATTCTATATTCCTCCAAATACATTTCATTCAAATTATGACATCATAGATAAAGTTTTATATCTCAAAACCTACCTGCAGGCCAGCCCGAACTAACAAGTTTTCTCGATGAATAGCTCCCAAATACGAATCATTCCTTAGTCGTGACACACGAGTAGGCTCCATGTCACTGCTATCCATAGAAGAGTATTCATAAGATGGAGGACCACTACGACCATCTTCCTTGTGACTCTCTAAGGGTTCTAACATAAACGGGGGTAACTCAGGTACCTGCAAGTTCAATACACTTTATTAATTATTTTACTTATTTTTCCTTTTGATTAAATTTGTCCTATTCTCAAACAGTGTCATATATTTAATGCAGTTGTGCATTAACTAAAAAGTATTAATCAGAAACAGAAGACTGTAACATATTCTAGAACAGTGAAATAAATCAACATCACGATTGTACTTACATTCATTTGAATCCAGTCTTTGTACACAGCAATAGCCTTGCGAATTGCAGGGGAGTGAGTGAAATTGAGCAAGAATGCTTGCCGATACACCTCATGCACAAAGTTGACGTTATCACGACTACTGTAGAGAACATCTCTCACAAGCTGCAATGCGGCTGCTGTTGGGTCCTCACTGCAAGGAAATGCATATGAGAAGAATTCTTCATGACACAATTGCATTAAATCATACTTTAAAGCTACAGATATTGTTATCCTTTTATGAAGCATTTAATGGGAATAGAAGTCTTAATATCGGAAACACTGCATTGATTGATGATATAATTTTTTTATCATGATCATCACTATTACTATCATGTTTATCATTACTATATCTATTATATTATTACTATTCTTATTCT